GATTTGTGTGGATTAACCAGCAGATTTGCCTCGTGTGATAACGTCCTTAGTAAAACGGTGTCCCTTATATAAAATGGCAAAATCAACGTTTGCTATTTGGAATTTATATCTTTTTGGAATATTTTGGAATATTTTCAAGCTCTGGATGGTTGAATCTATGAATATGGAAGGCTGACTGCAGATGCAGATTTTATTATCTATTATTTTTAATTATTTACTCATTTTAATCAGTACTGACTGTAATAATACACCAGTCACTTTTGAGTCCCATCATTGGGGGCAAGGCAAGATAAAAATGATTAAAATGTTAAGAACAACAAAATGAGCTTTGAAAGTGTTTACTGTTTTACTTCACATATCTGGATACTCTGGAACAAGGGTTGCTGCTATGGATTCATGTCAAGGATCAAGCAAACAGGAGAAGACTTGCTGAAGGAGAATCAACATGGTTTCTGTAAAGATATGGCTTTGTAAGTGACAGCCAACATATTGACAGTAATGACTGTAGATTGTTGCTTACTTGTACTTTCAAAAAGCACACAATCACTTATGAAAGACTTCTGAGAAAACTTTACTTACTAGTGTAGTTAATTGTTTACTTATTCTTATACAGTGGGCCCTTGGTATCTGCTGGGGTTTGCTTCCAGGACCCCTGGTAATACCAAAATCCATGGATGCTCAAGTCCCATGAATTACAGTGGCTTAGTAAATGGTGTCCCTTATATATAAATGGCAAAATCAAAGTTTGTTTTGTATAATTTTATATTTTTTGGAATCTGTATATTTTAAAATGATATTTTCAAGCTGTGGATGCTTGAATCAGTGGATAAAGAACCCCTGCATATGGAAGGCTGACTATAGTTACCAATTTATAAGGGGACCTCTCATCTTATGACTGCAAAGTCCTTTCTGACTTAAGGCAACCCTCAGCTAAACCTATTTCAGGGGTTTTTTTTGGCAAGATTTGTTCAGAGGGGGCTTGCCATGGCCATCCTCTGAGGCTGAGAGAGTGTGACTTGCCCAAAGTCACCCAATAGGTTTCCATGGCGGTGGGGATTTGACCCTAGCCCAATGCTCACACCAGTACACCATGCTGTGTCTCAAAAATAAAGATACATGGATAAATGTTCCTAAGAGGCATCTCCCACCGCCACCTGGAAACACTGCAGCCCACTCAACCACTTTGTGGTCACGCAATGGTGGCTCAACCCAAACCTCTTGGGGTGCTTTAGCAGTGGATGCCTGACAGGCTGCATCCACACTGTAGAATTAATGCAGCTTGACACCACTTTAACTGCAATGGCTCAAAGGAATCCTGGGATTTATAGTCTGTTGTGGCACCTAAAAATCTCAACGAATGACAAATCCCAGAATTCCATAGCATGGAGCCATGGCAGCTAAAGTAGCGAGACACCACAAACAAGACCTCCGTTATCGCCTGGATTTGCTTTAGTAAATGTAATTGTCAATTTTATTGTTAACGTTAATGTTATTGTTTTATTGCATTTGTAATTTTAATGTTTGTTTTAAGAATTTTTATTGTAATTTTGTCATATTTTTATTGCCATGTTTTAAACCTTGTTGTTTTATCTCTATTGCTGTACTCCCGCCTCGATCCATCGGGAGAGGTGGGGTATACAAATAATAATAATAATAATAATAATAATAATAATAATAATAATAATTTCTGCAGTGTGGATACAGCTATTCATTGGATCAGGTGACTTTGAGGTCCTCTGAAAAGTCTACAGTTCCTTAAACAGACTGAGTGGATGCACAGAAAGCAGAAATGTCTCCCAAGAGGCGCGTTGGGTTGCCTTAGAAAACAGTTGCCACTTTCTTTATTTTCTACCAACATTGGGCAAGTCACACTTTCTCAACCTCAGAGGATGGCAGTGGGGTAGTAGTTTGAGTGTTGCACTATGACTCTGGAGACCAGGGTTTGATTCTCAGCTTGGCCATGAAACCCACTAGGTGACCTTGGGCAAGTCACACTCTCTCAGCCTCAGGGGATGGCAATGGCAAACTCCCTCTGAAAAAAAAAATCTTTCAAGAGCCAGCGTGGTACAATGGTTTGAATGTTGGACTGTGACTCTGGAGAGACCAGGGTTCGATTCCCTGTTTGGCCATGAAGACCCACTGAGTGACTTGGAGCAAGTCACGCTCTCTCAGCCTCAGGGGAAGGCCATGGCCAACCTCCTCTGAACAACTCTTGCCACGAAAACCCCATAATAGGGTCTCCATACGTCAGAAAACGACTTGAGGGCAGGCCAGGCAGGGTGACCAGGCGTCCTCACCACCAAGGAGGACGAGGCACCACAAAAAAGTAGGCCCTGAGACCTCCATAGAAACAGATATCCACGCTTCGTAAATCATGCTCAGACACGGAGGACATTTTGAAATCCCTCCCGGACAGAAGAAGGCCATGAAATGGAGGAGCGTTGCCTGGTCACACAACAACGGCCCAAGACACACTGCAGAAGTAACCCACTTTGAGACCGCTTTAACTGCGCTAGGGAATACTGGGAATTGTAGTTTCTTGCGGCCCCAAAGCTCTCTCTGACAGAGGAGGCTAAAAGTCTCACAAAACTACAGTTCCCAGGATTCCCTAGCATCGAGCCAGGGCAGTTAAAGCGGTCTCAAACTGGACAAGGCCCTCTCCTCCTTCAGTTACGAAAGAGGGAGGCGCCATTCAGGCAGGAAGAGAAGGAGGAGGAGGAGGAGGAGGAGGAGGAGGAGGGAAGCGGCGGCCCAGGCCTCGGAGACGCCCAGCCAGGCCATTGAAACGGTACCAAACCGGATTATCTCTCAGTGCGGATGCTGCCTTTCTCGTTCCGCTTTTTTCACCCTTTCTCCCCCGCCCAGATCCTTCACCAGCAGCGCTGTTTGTGTGTGTGTGTGTTTGGCATAATGGCTCAAATAACCAATAATAATAATAAAAATAACATTTATTTATACCCCAGGGTGACCAGACATGTCCTCCTGTTCCAGGACATGTCCTCCATTTCATGACCTCCTTTCCAGGAGGAACCTGAAAATGCCCTCCGTTTTTGAGCAAGATTTTAGGGCCTTTACAGCCAGCCAAAAATAATCCAGCTTGAGACCGCTTTAACTGCCCTGGATCAGTGCTAGGGAATCATGGGAATTGTAGTTCATTGTGGCACCAGAGCTCTCTGACAGAGAAGGCTCAATGTCTCAGAAAAATAACTACAGTTCCCATGGTTCCCTAGGACACTTAAAGTGGTCTCAAGTTGGATCATTTCTGGCAGTCTGTTCAGGCCCTAAGCTAAGAAGCATGGAATTGCCTTTATAGGAGTGTTTTTAGCTTTTATTTGCTCCTGCCTTGCATTATCTCTTGAATGGCCTCCATTTTGCGGTGTCTTGTCCTCCTTGGCGGTGAGGACATCTGGTCACCCTGCCCTCTTCCTCACCAGATCTGCTCATACTGTCCTCCTATTGTCCATCCAGCTCCAAACTTTGGTCCACCAATTGTTTTGAACTTCAGTTCCCAGAAGTCCTAGGCAGCTTGGCCAATAATTAGGAATTCTGGGAGCTGGAGGACCAAAACATCTGGAGGACCAAATTTTGATAACCACTGAGCCATATTTAGAGAGACAGGCCAGATAGGTTTTTGTGGTTGTTTGGCTGTAAGCCCTTTCCAGTTCATGGCGACCCTAAGGCAACCCTCTCATGGGGTTTCTTGGCAAGATTTGCTAATAATAATAATAATAATAATAATAATATTTATTTCTAGCCCGCCTATTTCCAAAAGTAATCAAGACGGGTTACAAGCATAAAAATAAAAGAATACAACAAGAAAACAAATAAAAGTTACATAAAAAGCAATCCCCTTCCCAACCTCCAAATCCCAACATTAACCAAACAATTAAAATATAAAGTAAAGTCAATTACAAGATGATCCCAATAAAATCAACTAAAATGTCAGCTAAAATATACCATTGCCATACCATGAGGCTGAGACAGTGTGACTTGCCCAAGGTCACCCAGTGGTTTTCATGGCCAAGCAGGGAATCGAACCATGAGCTCCTGCTTCATCCGATTTGCACTGCAGAAATAATCTGGGTTGGCACTACTTTAACTACCATGGCTCAGTGCTATGAAATCCTGGGGATTGTAGTTTTGTGAGACATTTACCTTTCTCTGTCAGAGCTCTGGTGCCACAACAAACTACAAATCCCAGGATTCCACAGCATTGAGCCATGGCAGTTAAAGTGGTGTCAAACTGCATTATTTCTGCAGTGCGGATGTAGCCATAGTCCAACTCTCAACCCACTACTATACCATGCCAGCTCTAACCCAGATAGGATTAATGTAGCTTTCTGCCTTGCAGGATCTGCAAAGGGATGGAATAAACTTGTGTAATTCTTCCCTTGCACTTTCTTGGCAATATGAGGGAAGGACAATTATGGAGGCCTAACTAGATGTGGGACTTCCACTGAGGTAAACAGCTGAGGGATTTCTGAAAGTCGCTGCTCACTTTTATTGGGATATTTCCTTTCTTGGGTGGATTTGCTCTTCCTTCCTTCCTTCCTTCCTTTTCCTTCCTTCCTTCCTTCTTTTCTTTTCTTTCTTTTGTCCCTGCCTAGTTTTTGTAGAGAGCCAGTGTGGCATAGTGGTTTGAGTGTTGGACTATTTACTCAGGACTGGAGAATAGGGTTCAATTCCCTCCTCGAGTATCATAACCTACTGAGAGACCTTAGCCAAGTCACAATCTCTCAGCCTCAGGGGAAGGCAATGGCAAACCCTCTCTGAAGAAATTTGCCAAGAAATTGCCATAGGGTCGCCATAAGTCAAAAATGACTTGGAAGCACACAACAACAACTGGTTTTTGTTCTGGCAGACACTGGTCAAGAATTCCTGTGTTCTTTGCCTGTTCTTTGTCGTGGAAAAAGTTTTATTTTTTCTGTTCAGTTCAAAAGTTTAACTTGTCAGTTAGGTGAAAAATACCTGTGCAAATTTTTAAAAGTTATTTTTTACTTTTAAAATTACAACAAGCAAATATGCAGTGCTTGGCCCTCACTTTGCTTGCTGTGTTGCTTTTTCACACTACCCAATTACAGCACTATGATTTCAGTAATGTGGAACTGGGATTTGCCATTTCAGGAAAGGTAGCTTAAGGGCCTTTACAGACTGCCAGAAATAATGCAACTTGAGTCCACTTCAACTGCCCTGGCTCAGTGCTAGGGAATCATGGGAACTGTAGTTTATTGTGGCACCAGAGCTCTCTGACAGAGAAGGCTCAATGTCTCAGAAAAAAACTACAGTTCCCATGATTCCCTATCACTGAGCCAGGGCAGTTGAAGTGGACTCAAGTTGCATTATTTCTGGCAGTCTGTAAAGGCCCTTAAGAGTTCTCACTCAGAGAGCTTTAGCGCATCACCAAACTACAAACCCCAGGATTCCATAAGATATTGCTATGGCACTTAGAGTGGCATCATAAGAACATAATTGTGCAGTGTGAAAAGGTCCTGGTGTCTCCCCTCCACCCCCAGAATATTTTTTGGGTGCCTTTTCTCGAAATATGGATGTACTGGTAATGCACATTTGTAGATGGAGACTGGGAAGTGAAGGTGAGGATAGGTATTTGCCTAAAGAGCTGTAGCCAATTAACAGTGAGAAGTAATATTAAAACACTACAGTGTTCTAATGCAGATTTTAACATTTAAATTTAAAATTTAATTCTTTAGCTTGAGGTTGGGGAAATAAGTTGCATAAGAGCCTTGGCTTCTTAACCTCTGCCTTCCCTCTTATCTTCAAACTGTGTTATGAGACACCTCTCAATTACGGTAGTCCCTTTATTGTTTTCATTGACACTTTGGAAAATGGCACCAAATATACATATATAGCTTTGTGATTCATATTTCTCTTCTAACAGGCCCTAGGCATGTTGTTTATGTTTTCCCCGCTATTGCCTGTGTAACTAGATTTGGACACAATTTATCTAGCTCAAAATAGGGGTGAATATACTGTGCAAATCTGGCTGGAATTGCAGTGAGTCCAACAACATCTGGAGGGCCACAAGTTCCCCATCCTGGTTAAGTAGGGTTTACTACTGCCAGGACTTGTTATTGTATGTCATATCCGAAAGAAGGGGTTCAAAGCTTGGGATGTGTATTTGCTACACAAACAGGCTATTTTTGAAACAGGCAATGCACTTTGGGCTTTTGTTATCCACCGCTGCCACCAATTTTGTAACATTCACTTTTCCTTTCTTAATTTATTTTTCTTATTTAATTTGTGACACTGCCACCGCTTTGTGACTGACACTTTACTTTTCTTGAGAACACCAACGATAGGTGAAACTACTTCCCTTTTAACCCAAAATATGTCTTTAATTGTTAGTAGCATGGTTAGTTAATCAAGTTATTCAATTCAACTCAAGTTACTCAGACAAGCCTTTCTTTGAAACAGTAAAAAAAAAAAAACTTTATTTGAAAAATGATTTAAACAATGTTAGCTTGTTGAGATGGTGAATACGTTTGTTACTTTAAGGTATTACTTTCTTGGTTTAACTTAGTTACAGTTCAGTTAACCTCACAACACTCTCTCCAGAGATTAATAGTTACTTATACCCAGGACCCACACAGTCCTGACCTTAGGTTACTTCCTTAACCTATTGCAAGTGGGTTTTGCCGTTACAGGTGACCCTCCATATCCACAAATTCAATCAACCCGCAGTTTGAAAATATTCACCATCTTTTTTTCCAAATGCAAAGCTTGGTTTTGCTGTTTTATATAAGGGGTGCCACTATATATATATATAATTACTATACTACTGTATATAATGGCATATAAACCTATACACACATCCACATACATATATTTATAAATATAATTTTATACAAAGGTCCATAATAATAATAATAATAATAATAATAATAATAATAATAATATATTTTTATCCCGCCCCTCTGCAGCGCAGTGGGGCTTGAACATCCACAGATTTTGGTATTTTTGGTGGGTAAGAAATTATTATTATTATTATTATTATTATTATTATTATTATTATTATTATTATTATTATCAACAACTATTATTATTATTATTATTATTATTATTATTATTATTATTATTATTATCATCATCATCACTATCACCATCATCATC